GGCGGTGCCTCCTGTCGCGGGGTGCCAGCCCGCCGGGGCAGCGGCCCCCTCCCCCGTCCCGGGCCGGGGCGGTTTCTGGCGGCGCGGAAGTGGCTGTGGCGGGCAAAGCGGTACGCCGCGGCGCGGGAAATCCGCCCCTGCGGAGGCTGCGCGCAGGTCACTCCAGCGCCGAAGCCCGATGGCCGGGGCAGGTGCTCCGGCAGAGCCGCGGGTTTCTAAAGACTAATCTCGGGGTGTCTGTTTGTTACAGGAAATAAAGGGGTTCTGATGCAAGGAAAAGGATGAAATTTAGTTGCCTTTCCTTCCGACAACCCTACGCGGGATTAATTTTAAACGAAGTCAAAACAGTAGAGACCCGCTGGCGTCCTTTGCTAGCGAAGTACAAGAGCTGCACCGTTGCTATTCACATAGCTGTGAAGGACTGGGAAGACGAAAGCTGGAGAGCAATTCTTTTGAGTAGGTTTGGTATGACACCAGAACAAGTGCAAGATTTGTTGGATAAAGGGGAAAAATTTGGCAGAGGAGTTATTGCAGGTAAGCAACCTTGGATTATATTTGCCAAACAAGCTTTCAGTGCGTTGGCAGTCAAAATACACATCGGCTTCACACAGGCTTTAACGCTCTGAAGTTGTGACTGGGGGGCTGTTTCGGTTCCTTATCACTATAAACTGAGGTCCATGAGGGAAGATGTAAATAACATTTTTCTTTTTTATTGTGTTGGGAATGTGAAGTATCTTTGACCTTTAAAGAATTTTGGTCAGCCCTCAGTTTTTAAAATACACTCACTCTCCTAAAAACTTCAGGCTACAAGTCTGAAGCTTCTACAAGAAACAAAATGGATTTGTGCTAACTTGTCATGCAGTAAGATAGCATAATATGGGTTGCATGTTATTTTTTTTCATGATAATAAATGTCCATTCCACACTTTTTGCATCCTGATCTTAGGAACTCTTGCTAAAGAGTTCTTTACAGGACTTAGTCAAGTGAAGTCATGATGTTGCAGTGCTTTGCATGTCATAGTAGAGTATTACATAAATCCTAATTCAGTTCTACAAATGCTCTATTCTCTTGTTACTTGGGTAGGGAAGAAGTTTGTGTCTGTAACACAAAGCTAGTATGGAGTGATGTTTCTGCGCTTATACTGTGCTGAAATACAGTGGATGTTGCTGCACTGTATACTTATAAAATTTTTATCCAGCACTCATTTTGCATTCTTTTCTTGTAGGTATCTTGTCACACCATCTGTCTTACATTCTCATTTGAAAATTTTTAGCTATTCCTGCACAACAGATCACTTCTGTCACATATACCAAAATAATTTTTCTGGTTCTGTGGTGCTGAAAATTGTTAGGTACTACATAATATGCAGATTTATAACCTTGATGTAAATTGCAGGCTAAAATCGTGGAGTGGGTATTAAAGCTTCTTCGGTCTTTAACATTTTTAATCATTAAGCAGTACAGAAATTCCCTTTCATAACATTAAAAGGGTTCCAGAGAACAGGAGTTTCCATGTAGTTTAACAATTTTCAAATGTTAATTGTGTTCTGATAGGAGCAAAGAGTTTTATTTTTAATGAAGCTATTTCAAGGCTAAATACAGCTCAGGAGTTTTGGATGCTTAACAATTTTAGGTCTTTGAGTTGTGAGTATTTTTAACTGCATGCTTCACCTGTTCTTCACTGGCCTCAGTTCAGCCAGAAGCATCTTCCACAGTGGATGACCCTGATTTGAGGTGTGCCTGATAGATACTGTGTTCTTCTGGTAACACATTAGTTCTTTTGTACATTCCATGGGGGGCTGATTTTTGGAAAACTTTTATCTGGGAGATCAAACAACCAACTAATTTTATATTTCAATTTTGTAACACAGGATTAATTGACATTGGAGAGACATCCCTGTTTCCAGAGAACTTGCCTCCTGAAAAGGTTCTGGATCTGGAAACCAAAGCTGTCCTTAGTAATCTAGAACAGAGATACCTGACTGTTGTTTCAAATCCAAGATGGCTCCTGGAACCAATTCCTGCCAGAGGGGCAAGAGGTGTGTGGCAGGTGGACATCCCTGAAGAACTGATCCCTTCAGAAGTGTAGGTGTTGCCCCTCACCATTCTTTTTCCTACCTAAATGAAAACTTGTAATTCACCAGTCAGCAACTTGAATGCCAGTGAGTTGTTTAGGATTCCCTTCCAAAATTAATTGTTTGAAAGACGTTTGGAGAACTGCTCTTTTAAGGCAGAATAAACTAGATGTAATTTTTGTAACCATTACTGGAAGTTATTAGTGGTTTAGTTATTTGTATGTGAACAATGTAGTAAGTAAAGGCAATTATTTTAAAAGACATGGTTGATGCATTGTGTGCCAATTTAAGATGTGAGTAAATACAACTATACTCTGATGTGTGCATCTCCCATTATGAGGAGGGAGTTTATAGGACCCTTCAGCAAAACCACACCTGAAAGCAGGCTGCCCTCATCAACACATCTGTCTCAGAGTCTGCTCCTAACCTTCCATTAGTGGGATCACTGAGCAAGAAATCATTTGAGATCAAGTCAGTCCTAGGGGCTTCTCAAACAGGTGGACATTTCTGCACCTGGTGTGCATTACATGCTGTAAATACAAAACTTCCAGAAAGGACCAGATTTTCCTCATTCACAGGTCATGTAGATTAGATGTGCCTATGATGGGGGGAGCAGCCTGCAGTATACAGTTGCTGTAGTGGCCCACACTGCTCCCTGCCCACCACTCCCTAGCCAAGCAGATGGAGGCTTGCCTGGCCCTGGGCAGCTGTGCCCCTCTGGGGCGGGTTCTCCCTCGGACCAGCTGCTGACTGGCTGCTCTCCTCCTTGGAAGTGGTTTCCTGCACAAGCTCAATGGCTGCTTTCCTTTTCCAGCAGCGTGCATGCAAATAATCTGTGCCTGGTGAAAATCCTGCTGGTGTTTGATTTTTTGGGGCCAAAGTGTTGCTTACACTTCATTAATGGAGGCAGAAAGTTTCTTCTAAGATTAGGGTCATAGTAGAACAGAAACTGAAAAATGCAGAAGAAAAAAGTTGCCACCACCTTGAGACTGGAAGCCACAAAGATACAAGAACTAAGAATTCTGGTTGCATAAGAGAAATGTGGATGTTAAAAGGGACTTTCAGGGCCGTTCTAAACCTGAAGTTCTGGCTGAATGAAATGGTGCAATGGTACAGCCCTGTTAGGCAGTAACCAGCCCTGTGGTTTTGCTGCTTGGTAGCAAAGCAGCACAAGGTTTTCAAAAACAAACACAGACTTAGAAACCCAAATACCATTACTTTTCAACAACTTTAGCATGGAATGAACATGTAGGTAACTATATGGTGCTGAGGTATCTGGTGTAGTTGGGAACTGTCAGTGTTAGGTCAGTGGTTGGACTGGGTGATCTTCACGGTCTTTTCCAACCTAGAGGATTCTGTGATTCTCTGACATGTACCTTCTCAGCCTTCAGCAAATGCCACAAGACAACTGGCATCTGATAAAGCAAGACACATAGCAAATAGCAAAAATAAACCCAGTAAAGTGACAATATCTTTTCATTTTATGTGGTCAAAATAATTTGAAATAATGTATTTTATCAGCATTTCTAGTACTCAGAAGGGCTACCTGAAAAATTTCTGAACATGAGCCGAGAAACAAATGATAATCTGAACACTTACTACCATCCTCATCTCCTGTGTAGGGAAGGCTTATTTCACTGGAACAGAAATGTGTCCCGTTAGAATATTCTGGTAGTTAATTTGCATGTAGAGGATCCAACATACCTCCCTAGATGTCTCTTCAGCTAGCAAGTCATTGCACAAGCCCAATTTTGGAAAATCCCCCAGCTTTCTGGTGAATTGTATAGGTGGAGATGAGTGAAGCTTCTCATACGCTCACTTTCAGAAATTCTCAGACGTCCTCTCCTTGTACTTCCTCTTTGAAGAATTCATGAATCACTCCACACTTTCCGCTGTCACCCACCAAATGGACTCAAGCCGATCGCTTTCAACAACGTTCCAGAGCTTCTTCAGAAAGCTGAGGCGTGTAGAGGCATCACCTCTGCTAGAGCTCTCCTCAGATGGGTTCAGACACTCGCTGTTTCAGGGCTGCTGAGTCAAAGTTTGTGAAGACCTTTCTTCAATTGGAGGTCCAGAGGCAGCGTCACAAGCTGCTCTTTTGTCACATCAGATGGAGAAGTCAAGCCTGACAAATCAACTCCCTTGGCCAGAACAGAATCACATGAAGTTTCTGATGAGGAAAGGTCCATTTTAAATTCTTTTTTCTTGGTTTGGGTAAACTTTTCAGCCGAACCCTAACAGAGTGCCCTGCCAGCCAGCCAAAAGGGAGCGGCCAACTGAGTGAGAATCCCAAGGGAAAATTCTCAGACCTCACTAGGACACCCGTGCTGCACTGCTGTGGCATCACAGAGCAGCATCCATTTCCTAGCAACTTGAAAGAGCAGCACATGCACTAAATAGCACTTGTTGCTTTTCATTTACAGATTATTTTTTTTTGACTCAAGCCAAGAAGTAAATAAAACTGCAACAAAACTTTAAGTGTAGTGATAGGACAGTGCTGTGCTGGGTTCTAGCCAGTAGGTAGTCCACAGGGAGGAAGAGAGAGGTCTGCAGTGTTCGAAAGGAAAGCGCCACATCTCTGAAGTTTTCCAGGTGTGCACCTTTCACACATGCAGAAATGTCTATACATCTTTGCTCTTACTGCATGCTGATGCTAAAGAAACATGACTTATGGTATTTAAGCTACTTACAGTGTGGATTCACCTAAACACAAAGAGCAGCTGCTCTTTGAGAATATCTAACATGTTGTTACAAGCTACTGGAGTATGGTTTTCAGACTAAATGTCTCTAAAGCACCTGGAAGGCCCAGACAATCTGTCAAAGGAAGTCTTTCTTCAAACAAAATGCTGTATCAACACCGAGTTCCTATCTTGTAAAGTTTAATCATTTACAACAACACTCTTACAAATTGGCAATGAAGACCAAGCTATGATATTTATACCAGCTAACCAACAGCTGTAAAACATACAACTAATGTTTCTTGCATAGTCTGCACGCACAATGCAAGTGGAACAGCTTATTAAACAGTCTAATGGGAGAATGGTGTACATGCTGCTCAAGAACAATTAAAACATGAAACTGGAAAAGCAACAAAACCAACACTTAACTCCCAAATCAGTGCAAAAGTTCAGATTACTTACATGAAAATTTACATAGCAAACTCAAAAACATCATGTAAGTTGCTATACATTCTATTCCCCCCCCCCCCCC